CGTAGCGCAAAGTTCCGTTGCGCAAAATGTCTTTGCGTGACGTTTTGTTGTCACCGTTGCGCAAACATACTTTGCGCGACGCAATTTGCTCCATCGCGCAGATATATTTTGTACTAGTGCAAGAGCTAAAACCTTGCGGCATCCGTTTATTCAAGATCAAGTCATCGGGACCCTTGGATCAACAAACCCTACATCACACATCTACAAATATTGGAGATCGAATCAGAGAGTCAAGTTGTAAAGAGATTGTAACCCTACAAATTCATTAATACAAATATTCTTTGTACACGTCCTATCTTGTCATTTGTCAAAATTTTCGTGTTTACGAATCAAGATAGAGGTAAATTAGAAATTATAGGTAGATAAATAGCATGCGTAACTAGGAGAAGGCTTCCATATAAGAAAAAAAAATGTAGGAAACCTACATCACAGGTTGATGATCCATGAGAAAAAAACTGAATAAAACACAAAACAAAGATCATGATAAGGTAAATAACCAAAAAGAAAACAAAAGTTGAAAATGGTGTATATAATTCTTCCACTAAGTAAAAAGAAGAGATGTGATGAATAAAATAAAAAGAAAGGATGACTGGAAGAAGAAAGTGAAGAGGAGACATACGAATTCTCATGAGGATAAACTAGACGACTATAAGAGTGTAGAGGAGACATGCGATTTCTCACTCAAAGAGAGAAAGGGAATGAAGAAGAAGAGACATACAATTTCTCACTCAAAGATAGAAAAATGTAGGGAATTATTGTTTATTTTGATAATTAATTTTATCAATAATAAAAGATACTCCTAACCTTTCAACTACTATTCACTAAGGCAATAAACGCCTTTGTCCATTTGCATGAGCAATTATTGCCTTAGTGGTGGGGTGGAATTTATAGTAACATTTTGTCTAAATCTTTTCTAGTAAAATAAATAAGAGATAATTGTATCAATGATCCATGAATTTTAGCTCAATTAGAGATTTGGTTCCTAAAATAAAAGTCCTTGAGTATTGGTCCCTAAACTTATTATAATGTGAAGTAATAGTCATTTTGGTTAACTCCGTTGGAAGTTCCATCTATTTTTTGCCCATTTAAACCCTTCATTTTAAGACCTATTCGTCGATTTTTCCATCGAACTTGTATAGATATGCTAATTTCTCCCATGAACTTTAACTTTAGTCAATAACCTCCTGAGTAAATAGCCAGTTTCTCCCTGGTGATAGCTTTTGAAAATTTCCATCCAAATTAGTCATGCAAACATCACATAACAAGTTGTATGAAGGAGAAAAGGTAATTTTGTTTGAGTAAATTGGGCGCAAAGCCAATACATTGCAGTTGCTAATTGGACTTCCATGACTAATTCAACCAATAAGTGTACACAATTAGCTAGCGGAAGAGAAGAAGAAAAAGCAATTATTTTGTCCACGTTAGGAATAAAAATACTTTATCGCCCCCAAATGTTTGTCATGTGACCAAAATTGATAAAAAAAATTTGATGAAAAATTAAAAAATCTAGCAAAGGAAAATTTGGCTAATTATAAAAATTCAAGAAATAATCAGCTTAAATTAGAGTTAATAGAAAAAAAATTAACAACTCTTTACAAGTCCGGAGGAAAAAATCGACAAATACCTTTTATTTTGAATGAAATTTCTAACCGTGTTACTTAAAAAGATCATTTGCTCCATATTGTGACAAGTTAAAAAACCAAGACTCAAGAATTTTTAGTTCAAGAACCAAAGTTCCAATTGGGACATAGTTCAACAAATTGCTCCAATTCTCTTATAAAAATAACGTTTTTAATCTAGTCTCGGTTCTGAAGAATTTATAATGAGATAAGCATTTCTACAGAGCATACGCATAATTGCTTCCTAGAAAGGCAGTCCCAAGAAAGGTGATTATGCTTCCTAGAAAGGCAGTCCCAAGAAAGGTGAACAACTAAGTTAAACACGTTCCAAATTATAGCATAAATCATGGATATAGCAATGGAAAACACAGATAATTCGATTGATTCATTTCGTTTGGCAGAATATGCTGCTTCAAAAGCGACACTAGATAGTAAAAGTGAAAACGAGTAATAAAAACTGAAAATTTACTCGAGGAACTGGCAGTAACATGGCAAAATCAAACATATTGGTAGAACTTCATGTCGACTAACATGACTAGATTAGTAAAATTCTGAATAAAATTCAACAGTACCAAATCGAAAACAAAAGTAGCATCCTGAATAAGATTTCTCCCAAAATTCTGAAGACTAGCATATAGGAAACACATATAGCAAAATAAACCATAACAGTTGCAAGGTTTACTCGTCCTCCTGGCTGCGCAACCTGGCAAGTTTGTTGGTAACAACAACATCCAACTGGGCTGCACGCTCGACGATCTCCTTCCTCTTCCTGGTGGAAACGTTGTGCGCAATCTCAGCACAGTAAGTCCTGCAATTATATTAGAGAAACAAAGGATTAACAAATTCTAATTCAAACTAGATAGGTGGAGATTGTGATAAGTAATTTAAAGGGGCTGTTTCATACCTGTTGTGCATCATTAGAAGTTCAACCTCTTTGACATTGTGCACGACAAATTTCTTGAACTTGTTAGGCAGATAGTGACGAGTCTTCTTGTCTGACCCATAGCCAATGTTGGGCATCAATGCACATCCCTTGAACTTTCGCCTGACACGTGAATCAATACCCTTGGGCCTTCTCCAGCTTTCCTGCCATAAGCAAAGTACATGCATTAAAACAGAACAACTTAATGCTAAGGCTCCAGGAAGCAGAGATGCACAGAGAAGTATGCATCCCTGAGTTTATCAGGTCACAAATGAAAGAAAAGCAACATGTCTCAGAAACAAGACATTGAACCACATGATCACCCTACATGCATCAACTATACAGACACACGGAGACAAGGGTAGAAACACGGATGCTTAACAGGCCATACTACCTACCCCTAAACACAGGACAGTAACAATTTCATTGCTGATCAGGAAAAATATACATTGAATTCATCGCCTCTCTGCAAGTCATTTTCAATCTTTCTCACATTCTAATTCAATTTTCAGCCATTGAGATCTACAAATCTCAAACTGCCAACAAAACTATGAATCATTCCAACTTCAGGAAACTGCAATGAACACGCCCCATGATTCAAGGTTGTGAAGAGCACTTGACTACTGCTATGCCCAACATCATTAAAGCGATACAGAACCGGCACTGTAAAAACAGTTTGACACCTCCCATTCAAGATTTAAGTTTAAATGTCAACTTTATTGGACCCAAATCACTACAAACAAATACAACTGTAGTAACTAGTACTTCACACCATTAACTAGCAGATATCACAATTAAGTGAATTAACCCCAACTTACCCATAACTTAATAGGTTATGAATTTATTAATCCCACTCAAATAACCCATTAAAAATTCATATACAAAACAGAAAGTTTCTAATACATTAGAGCTGAAATCCCCACATAAATGTAATGATTCAAAAAATTAAATAAACATGAACAGAAATGAAATGAGCCAGAGATTCATACCTTGACGCAGTGCTTCCTGTCACTCTGGGGCCTCTTGAAGTGCGTCTTGCGCTTCTTCACAATTTGCTTCTTCAGCAAAGGGACGGCCATATTTCCTGTCACTCAAAAAACAGCAGCAAAATCACGCGTTCAGTAAAATTAAATATGGGGAAAAAACGCATCTGACCATTGTTGCAGATACTAGGTTAGAAAATCTTGGATTTTTGGAAACGGAGGAAGATCAGAGATTAGGGTTTCGAACCTGACTGAGACGAAGAGCAGTATGGCGCTTTGGAGTCGAGGGAGAGGCACAGATAGAACTAGGGTTTTAAGTGAGGGAATATATATGGAATAGTTGTAATCCGCTGCATCAGGTCCGCACCGTAAGATTATTGTTGTTTTTGGGCTGTAACTTACAGCCTGTAACTCACTCAATTGTTACTAGTGATGGAATTGGTCCTCAATTGCCTTAGATCAAAGTCCAATCGAAAGCACGTATAAATTAGAGGTGTAGGGCCCTTAATTTATAGGGCACATATGATGACTATTTTACAGTCGTTTGTCAAATATTTAATTTTTAGTTTGGAGTAGGGAAATTATTTTTAAAACTATATTTTATAAATCACGTGATGTGGTGGGTGGTTGGATTCTAACTAAAATTAAAATCTCATATAATGTGTTTTTTTGTTTATGCTTTATTTTATGTTGTTTTTTCTCCTTCAAGGGAAACTAAAATAACAAACCATGATTGAACATCGGCCTCGATTGCAGTGACGCTTTATTGAAGTGGCGGAATGCAATGATGTGTATGTACCTCTATGCCGGTTTGATCCTCATCGATCCCCTTTCTCTCTAATAATTAAACCCACTAACGCTATCTTTTGTAAATAAATAAAAAGCATCTTGGGCTTGTTCGGTAGAAAGGATTGGATTGAAAAGGATAACTCTCTAAATTCAAGGCATATTGATGGTAGATGAGAATGATTTTGCATTGTGAGGGAGTTAGAAGAGGATTAGACATACATAAAATACCCCCATCTAATCCTCTAGAAGATTAACTTATCTTCTTTAGGGAATAAAGTTGTGACTTTTGAGTTACTGAGAGTAAAGTAAGATTAAAATAGAGTTCTAGAGAGCGTAGCTAAAAATAAGCCTAAAAAATTAATAAGTTTTCTGATATACAAATAATTAATCTACTTCGAATAATATTATTTAGACACATAAAAATGACACTTTTGTGTCCACTAGTATATGTGGGATTCATTCGTATTAGAGAATAAATGCGTTAATTTTGTGAGTCCATATAGAATTACCGACACTCGAACTACAATGGCAAAACCTTAAACACCATGAATTGAGGGATTGGAGTCTTTGGACGTAAGTGTCTATTCCTGCATAACCTTTTGCCGCATCAAATTATTGTTTGCCTGAAAAGGCCGTCTGCATATGGAGCTTAAGTTTCGTCCATCTTGTTCTTATGTATCTCTCTCTTATTTGTGCTTCATTTTTTCCTAACTTTTTGCTTCAAAGTTGTACCAAAACCAAACTGTGATTCCTAATGGTAAGTAAGCCCATAAACTGTTTCTGGTTTTTTGTCTCCTATAATTTCTAGTTTTCACTTACAACTTTGTTCTTTGTTTGCAACATAGGACTTAGAGATGAGTACGGAAAGAGATGGGAATGTTCTCTACCAGCAGAAAGAAAGTGATGATCAGTTTGTTGACTGGAGAGGAAGGGAGGCAAATCCCAAAAAGCATGGAGGAATTAGAGCTGCTGCCCTTACATGTGGTACTGTATCTCAGTCCTATCTAACCCTTTACTTAAGTTTAAATGTTTACAAACTACATTAGCAATATGTAGAATGTGAGCATCCAACTCAAAACTAATTGACAATGAGTATATAGATCATTTAAGCACGTATGTCGTTGGGCCTAACAAGTGAATAGCATAGCCAACGACTCATTACTAACCGCACTAGTATCGTCTCTTAATTTGCATATCACCACCTGCACAGCAAGGCAGGTGTGAGAGTTTGTTACAAAAGGTCTCAGTGTAATTAGAAGTGAAACCTAACTCCTTGATATAAGTCATATTTAGTTTTGTCAATTTTCCGATGTAGGATTCTCGTGCTCTTTAACACATCCAATCCAAGATCTTTTAAGAACTTAATCATGACTTCTATCTTCAATGACTAAGATTGTTAGGGTGGAACCTCAACTTTCACCACAATCTGGGGTGCTCGTCGATTCCACAAAAAAATGATTTGTAACAGTGTAAGAAGTAGTTCTATATGATGAGGAAATTTCGTCATATATTATTTTTGTTTGCAGTTGTTGGGGTGCTGATCAACATGGTTTTCTTATCCAATGCCATCAACTTCGTTTCATACTTCCGGTTGTCAATGCATTACTCGCCTGCTACATCAGCAAACATGGTGACCAATTTCATGGGAACCTCTTTTTTGCTCTCCATCGTGGGAGGCTTTATTTGTGATTCGCTCTTCACAAGCTTCACAACCTTCATCATATTCTGTGCAATAAACTTAGTGGTATGCTTTTCTTTCAACTATATGTATGTTTCATGGCATGTTTTCATGATTTCATCCAAGTATGTAATACGAAATTGAATGAGCTTTTCGATACCAATTATAGGGAGTAATCTTGCTGGCTATCCAAGCTCAATTCACACATTTACGACCGGCTGTGGATGTGAAGCCTTCTCTGTTTCAAGCAACCATTCTATACATTGGCCTCTACGCATTTGCAGCTGGTATAGCTGGACTCAATGTCGCCTTACCTGCACATGGTGCTGAGCAGTTTGATCACAACGATGCCAGGCTCATCTCTGCCTTCTTCAATTGGTTTAACTTTGCCATATGCCTAGGGGGCCTAATAAGCTCAACTGTTATGGTTTGGGTGGAAGATCATATTGGCTGGAATTGGAGCTTTCTGATAACAGTTACGGCCTTGAGTTTTTCGCTTGTCATTTTCGTCACTGGGACTCCGTTTTATAGGCACAAACGTCCCACTGCAGGGAACTCGTTAACACGAATCATCACGGTAAAACTGAAATTAGACAAAATGCTATTGATGACATAGTAATATCAATTATCAAGTAGACTGCTGTCACTGGATTTTAATTTTGTTTTTTTGGGTGCGTGAATTGTGAAAGGTACTTGCTTGTGCAGCTCGAAACTGGAAAGCCTCATCGAACGAAAGAATGGGGAACCAGTATGCAGTATCCCCAATCAATCGGAACAGAGCGGATGGACAATCCTATGACAAGCTTAAGTAACTTCTTCCCTGTGCCTAATTAAGTGAAGTGATTATTAGTACATAATTATTATTAATCTAAGAAACCCTATATAATTTCTCAGGTTTCTAGACAAAGCATTAATTGGTAACACAATTAGTGTAGCACATGTTGAGGAAACCAGAACTTTTCTTGGCCTTCTTCCCATCTTTGCAAGCACAATCATGATGAATTGCTGCCTAGCCCAAGTTGAGACATTCTCAGTGGTACAAGGGAGCAAAATGAACAGAAAACTGCACAACTTCGAAATCCCCACTCAGTCCTTAAACGTACCCCCTCTCTCCATCATGCTTGCTTCGATTCCCTTATGCGACGGTTCCAACACAAAAGTCACATGCTCCAACCCCTTTGGAGGATCGGACTGGGGATAGCACTGGCGTCGGGGTCAATGGCTGTAGCTGCCCTAGTCGAAGCTAAGAGGCGCGAGGCGGCTCACAATGATGTCACATTGTCGGTGTTTTGGCTAGGGTGGCAATTCTTATTGTTAGGAGTTTGCGACGTGCTTACGCTTGGAGGAATGCTCGAGTTCTTTTACTCAGAGGCGCCAAGTACCATGAGGAGCATGTGCGCTGCATTGTCATGGTGCTCAATATCTCTTGGGTACTTTTTAAGCTCAGTTCTTGTGTCCATTGCAAATTCAGTGAGTGGAAAATTTGGTACACAGTGGCTTGGAGGAGACGATTTGAATCATATGCGTTTGGATTTGTTTTACACACTTCTTGGCATTCTTAATACCGGCAACTTTCTTAATTACATGTATTGGGCTAAGAGGTATTGACTTGAGGGATTGGAGAGTTTGTAGGTTGGTACTGTCTAAAAAATAAGAATGTCTGGAGTTCTAGACGTTGCCACTTTATAAGGAATTGGAGAAACTCTTTATCTTGTCATATAAGACATTAAGACTTTGTTTGAATCCAAAAGGTTCATTGTTTATAAACAAGGGAGAAACTCATATGCTCTCAATAAGACATTAAGATTTTGAATGATAGTTGAAGTTTTAGGGATAAGCTTCAATGGGTAGATTTGAGCGAAGTGAAAAAGGATGGAGGGCATCCATCTCTAGTTCAAAACCCAACTCGAGTGCTAAGTTATAAGATCAAGTCACCGCTTTAATTGTGTTATTAGACCATCTCCAACCAATCCACCGTGAACAATTTTGAAAGCAAGAAATGAAGTTTTTATCTTTTCCTACTGCTATGCCAGGTCTAGCTGGTTTGACCTACTTCTAGTTGGCTGCCAAAATTGGCGCTCCCATGTTGAAACGTTTTTATGTTTTATTTAATTAATTTGATCCTGCATTTCAATATTTAACATGTTGCTATAAAGTTTGCACATTTCACACTTTAATTTTGGGTTCATTTGACCCTAGCAGGATTTTTAGAATATATCGATTTGCCATATCAACCATTAAAAATGGATTTAACTTTCAAGCCGTAGTGGGGTTGGTTGTTAAATGGTAAGCCTCAAAGCCTCTCTCTTTTTCTTTTTTTTTTTTTTAAGGGAAGGATTTACTGACTTTCGAGCCTTATTGGAGATGGTTGTTAGAACAGTTCCACCGGGGAACTGATAGGTCAGCACCCAAACTTTCCTCTCCAGCCCAAGCCAGGCAAGAGACCGGCTCAAAATCAACAGACCCACATGCCGAGCCATCTGACGTCAGCCGGGCCATCAACCGTGACAACCTCCGATTCTGAGTTGTAGCATAACAGAACAACGATATAAACAAACCCAGAAAGCAACCCGGCAAACCAAGAAAAACCCATATCACAATTTGCAATACCGAGCTCAAGAAATTAATTTTCTGAAAATTTGGATAGAAAAAGGCCACCTTCCAATGGAACCCATGAGGAAGAACTGGTTAGCTCTGGTTTTTGTGAGATCTTTTGGCTGTTTGGTTGGTTTTCCGGGAAAAACCAGCTGAGGATGGAAAAGGTGGGCCGAGGAACCTTACTGCTGTTGTGGTGTTTCATTTTTTTGTGGGAAAGACAGGAAGAGTTCCTTAAATCCGAATGGGGGAGAGAGAGAGAGAGGGGGGGGGGGGAGAGAGAGAGAGATGCAGAGGGAGGTTCCAAGTGAGCGGCGCGACATGGTGAGGTTTTGAGGGGGAGTTGGAGCGGTGGATAATTCTGTCAAATACCAGATAGCAACAACATGTAAAAGTCATATTGGGTGTCCACACCCACACTTATACTTTACAAACGAATTTGAACTTTGAATCACATGGGCTTCAAAAATATTTGCAAATAAATTTGAAAGAAGATGAATAAATCAAAGAAAAATCATATCTACTGGCAATTCAGACTTACCCAAAGCTGCTATCGAGCTCTGCCAAAGACAACTTTGCGTTGTTGACAAAGTCTAGAACAACCTGGAAATTTAAAGCCGAATAAGCAATCATTTACTGAAAATCTTTCACAAAAAAAAGTGCTAGTTTCACAAATAAATTAAACCCAGATTAAATTTCTTGATAAAAACTAAGAACTTCAAAGCTTAAGAAAAACCCATGAATCCAACCATAAAAAAGATGCAAACTTACGCACTGGCAAACCATTCATAAACCAAAAATAATATCTTAAACAAAACACATGATTCCAACTAAAAAAAGCTCAAATTTAAATCAACCAACACAAACAAAATATCAAACATGGTTCATTGTCTCTCTTGGCATTTGAAATCACACAGTGTTGCCCAATATATTATTGTCTTAACATTTCATATACTTATGCACTAGATAAAAAAATGATATCTATGTTAAAATTACATGGACTACTTTATCATGGTTTAAGAAAGCAAGCACAAAATCATAGTATCTACATGTTCCTCAAATTATCTAAAAAACTAAAACAAAACCCTCACTTCCCACTACATGTTTAAGAGACGTGACCCATACAAACCTCTTCACCATTCACCAATACCCCTGGTGCTATAAATCCAGAAAAAAAAAATTAATAAATAAATAAAATGGCTACTAACCAAAGGATCCTTTGAACAAATTAAGAAATTCAAATAAAATTAAAAAAAAAAAAAACACACACACACACACACAAAAGATCTTCTTGAATTGTCAAGGAAATCAAGATACTAATAAATATAAAGGTATGTTTGAACTGTTATTTAAATAAATAAATAAATAATACAAAACATTTCCAAACGTTGATTATGTCTGATGAGTTAATGCTACAAGCATAAAAAAATATGAAAAGATCTCTACAAGATACAAGTAAAAGGGACAACTACACCCTAATAACCAATCTAACCAATAACCCCAATTACTCACTCTTGACTTTCAATACATCTCCCACTTTATTTACACTTCTTAACTTAGAGTTGCATATAGTCGTCTTGACTAAGAGTCGCCAAACCTCATCCACGTAAATAGATTAGTCTCTGCAAACTGCTCAATCTTGTGTTTCGTCCTAAAAAGCGTGCTTTCTGCGACTTCTTTCTAACTATCTGATATATCTTTCTCATTCGATCCTGATTCCTGAGGTGCAACTTAATCCTGGTTAATATTTCATCTCTTAATCCTTTTTAGTATTTCATCTCTTATTCAAAACATGGATGTCTTTTGATGTGTGGTTCTGCAGGCAATGAATATGGCTTCTTCTTCTACCATCTTCCCTCAAGAAAAACATGATGTGTTTCTGAGTTTCAGAGGCGAAGATACCCGCAATACTTTTACAAGCCATCTTTATGCTGCTTTGCGTAGGAAGAAAATCGAAACTTACATTGATTACAAACTAGAGAGAGGAGATAAAATTGCGCCTGCCCTTGCCGAGGCAATTGAGAAATCAAAGCTTTCCGTAATCATTTTCTCAAAAAATTATGCTTCTTCCACTTGGTGTCTCGAAGAACTTGTGCATATCTTGCGATGCAAGGAAAGATATGGGCAGTTTGTTATACCCATTTTTTACGACATCGATCCATCACATATAAGAAAGCAGCAGGGGACTTATGCAGATGCATTTGCTCGACTTGAAGAACGTTTCAAGGACAATATGGACAAGGTGCACAAGTGGAGGGATGCTTTGAGGGAAGCTGCAAAAATATCTGGGTTCGATAACTCAAACAAGGCCGGGTAATTAACCAACTCTTAAAGCTTTTATTAACTTCTACATACATACTACTTGGGACCATTTGATTCAAGTTAATATCAGTTCACCTATATATATGTTCTAAATAACTATCGGTTGTCCCCTTTGTAATGATATATGCCAGGTCGGAGGCTGATTTAGTTCAGAAAGTTGTCGATGATATTTTAGCCAAACTGAATCGCGAAAAGTCAAGTGATTTGAAGGGATACGTTGGAATTGAAAGCCGCATCGAGGAAATTGAATCATTATTATCCATTGATTCACTAGATGTCTGCTGTGTAGGTATTTGGGGCATGGTTGGTATTGGCAAGACCACCCTTGCTGATGCTATATTTCATCGACTCTTTTCTAAATTCGAAGCTTGCTGTTTTCTTGCAAATGTTAGGGTGGAATCAGAGGAAAAAGATGGACTAATTCACTTGCGAAATAAACTTCTCCGTAAGTTACTAGATGATAAGAATCTAGATATTGACACTCCATCTATTGGATCAACCTTTGTTCGTGAGAGGCTCAGTCGTATGAAGGTCCTCATTGTTCTTGATGATGTGAATGACTCAAGCCAAATCGAACTTCTAGCCGGAGGCAGAGATCATGCGGTATGGCCCCGGAAGTAGAATCATTGTAACAACTAGAGACAGGAGCCTACTTAAGCAAATTGTAAAAGAAGATAAGATATACGGGGTTCATGCATTAAAACGTGATGAAGCTCTTCAGCTCTTTCATTTGAATGCCTTCAAATATAACGCTCGTATAACAGATTATACAGAATTGGTGGAAAAGGTGGTAGATTATGCCGGTGGAATTCCATTAGCTCTTAAAATTTTGGGTTCTTCAATCCTTTGCTGCGAGACCAAAGAAGATTGTTTAGATGAAATAATCACAATGAAAGAATCTCTGAGGAAAAACATTCAGAAAGTGTTGAAGATAAGTTACGATGGATTAAAAAACGAGAAGGAGATATTTCTTGATATAGCATGTTTTTATAAAGTGGAGACTATGTATATTGTAAAAAGAATGTCCGATGCTTGTGGTTTTCGTGCAGCAGGAATTAGAGTTCTCAGTGATAAGTCCCTCATATCAATTTCCGAAAGCATGCTTATAGAAATGCCTGTTCTGGTCCAAGAAATGGGCAGGGAAATCATTCACGAAGAATGTATTGAAGAGCCTGGAAAACGAAGTAGGTTGTTCAGTGCAGATGATGTCTGTCACGTACTGAAAAATAATACGGTAAGAACTGTAATTGAACTTTAATAATTCACTTTCTTATACAAGAAATCGTGAACTTTTATGAAATGATAACATCTGGTTAAATTTGTTGTGTGCAAGTATATCAATATTGTATTCACATTTATACTTTTGCTCTTGATTGTCAGGGAACTGGAGCCGTTCAATGCATATTCTTTAAAATGTCTGAGATTGGACAGTTGAATCGTGCAGACTTCAAAAAGATGTTTAATCTAAGATTGCTCAATGTTGATAATTCTAGCTTTGGCAATTACTGGGAGTTAAACGTTTCTCTTCCCAATTCTCTTAGGTATCTTTCCTGGGTGGGATACCAACTGAAATCTTTGCCATCAGAATTTTCTCCAGAAAATCTTGTTGAGCTTCGAATACCCTACAGCAATGTCAAACAACTTTGGAATGAAGGCCAGGTATTTATATACATATTAGTATATGTGTGTGTGCGCGCACGTGTTTGTGTAGAATATGTGGTGTGGCAAAGTTAATCAGGCTAACTTGTTAATGCTTGCCATTTCTCTTTTAATTTGTTACAGAAGCTTGGAAACTTAAAGGTGATGGATCTTAGTTACTCCATATATCTGACTGAAGTTCCAGATCTCTCTCAAAGTCTGACTATCGAGCATATAAATCTTATGGGATGTACAAGTTTGGTTGAAATTCCTTTGTGTATTCGGCAACTGAACAAGCTTACTGTTCTTAACCTGGGATACTGCTCAAAGCTCAGAAATCTTCCAGAGATGCCAGGAAATATTGAATACTTAGATTTAAGTAGCACCGCGATAGAGGAATTGCCTTCATCAGTTTGGTTTAATGCAAACATTTCTACCTTGGATATTCAATGGTGTAAGGACCTTAAGAATCTTCCAAGCTGCGGTTGTAAGTTGAAATTACGTAATTTGTCTTTTTGGGGCTGCTCATCTCTTGGCAAGTTTTCGGAGCTTCCCCGGAACCTAACAGAGTTACAGTTGACTGAGACAGCAATAAAAGTATTGCCCTCATCAATCGAGCATCTCTCTCATCTCAAGAAAATTGAACTGGAAAGTTGCGAACGTCTTGCGAGTCTCCCAACAAGCATTTGCAAGTTAAATTCTCTTGAGAGACTTAACCTCACTGGTTGCTTAAAATTTCAATGCTTCCCACATATATTGGAGCCTATGGAGCACCTAAACTTTCTTAGCTTGTCAGAAACCGCTGTTAAAGAGCTACCCTCGTCGGTTGAAAATCTAATTGGGCTTCAGACATTACAGCTCTACCGGTGCAAAAAACTGAAGTCTGTCCCGAAAAGCATCTACAACTTAAACTCACTTCAAACTCTCACGTTTGGTGGTTGTTTAAAGCTTAGAAAGTTGCCTCAGTCCCGGGTAGGTTTGCGCTCTTTGGAAGAACTAAACCTCAGTTACAGTGGTATATTAGAAATCCCTGATCACCTTGTTTGCTTAACCTCGTTACGAGAGTTGGACCTAAGTGCAACCATGATCCGGAGCATACCTGCAAGCATCAACCAATCTTCTCACTTGTCTGTCCTTCGTTTAACCAAATGCAAGAAGCTTCGGTCTATACCGGAGCTCCCAGCTGGGCTGCAAATTCTTGAAGCACAAGGCTGCTTGTCGCTGAATACAGCGTCCAAATCAAGGTCTGCGCTAATACAATTATGTCATGATGGATATGAATTTTCGCTACGCCATCTTTAGCAACTAAATTTTTCTAATTGCCTAGGAGGTTGTTGTGAGTTCGGATCAAGTAGAAGTAAAGGCCAGTTTGAGATTGATGTGCATTTTTATAAAACTGCTTTGATGTGCTTTAAGAATAATGAACTGTAAAATAAGCAGAATCACCTTTGTTTTGAAGGCCTAGCAATTTAAGCAAGTTCCTTTTTTTCAAAGGCGGTCTTTTTCTTTCCCCATGACTCGCTTGTTTAGAGTGTTTGATAACTGTATTTTTAAAATTATGTGAGTATGAAAAAGCAGTGTAAAAACATCTGATAAATTTTAATGTAAGTGATGTATTTATGTATAATGACAAAATGGACATGGTATTGCAGGTTTTGGCGACAACAACAGTGATGGTGGTGGTGGTGATTCTGGCAGAAAAAATGGTGGAGGAAATTGTGGTGTCATTAGTAGGGCGCGGTAGTTAGGGTGTAAAGGCAGCAATGGTGATTGTTATGGTGGTGGTGGTGGTGGCTGCAGCGTTGGCAGTGGCATCATTGGCAATGGCAATGGCAACAATGGTGGTGACTTGAGCAAAAACAATGGTGGAGGTAATGGTGATGTCATCAGTAGGGTTTAGGGTGTAAAGGTAGTGATGGTGGTGATTGTTGTTGTGGTGGTGGTGGCATCATTGGCAGTGGCGTCCTTGGCAATGGCAAAAATGGTGGTGATGATGCCGATGGGGGTGTCGGTGGTGATGGCAACTACAATGATGCGTGTAGTGTGGTGGTGCTAATAGTCGGGTGTGGTGGTTGGGGTGGATAGGTAACAATGATGGTGGTAATGGCGGTGGTGAGGATTGTTGTAGTTGTGGTGTTGGTTATAGTGGTGGTGACAATGTGGTGATAGCGGTTGTAACTCCACTTTTTAATAAAGTATATGTTAAAAGTACCCTACAAGTTATTTTTTTAAAAGTTGTTTGGAGGTCATTGCTTTTAAAATAAACAAGTATTTTAGTTTTATTAAATACTTTTTGTTTGGCCTATTACTGTTCACTTGAGTGGATAAATGCGCTGGGTGCTGGCGGAAAGTCTTTAGGAGTGAAATTGCTCTTTAAGAGGTAAGCCCCAAAATTATTATATTAATTTAAGGGAGAATAAATTTCAAACTTGGAATGTATGGATAGAAACCCAACACCCAATTTTTTCCAACCCTTAACTCTTATTTTTCCAACTTTCAACCGAACACAAACAAAATATAAGAAAATTAGATCTTCTACATGGCATACGTCAATCTATATATCCCACCTCTTGAGTGTAACTATATCGTGTTATATAAGAAAAAAGTTATATAATGGGTCATTTTGGTTCCGATCCCTAATCAACTTAATTGTTAGACTGAAACATTATTTGTTTAAATACTTTGATCAAGGTCCTTAGCCTAATTTAAAAGATTTAACTCATGTATTTATGCATTTAATGTCCCACAAATTATGAAATTTAAACAAATTCAAATAAATTTTTAAATATAATAAATACCTAAAAATTAATTTTAGAGTAATATTGTTCTTCACAAAAATTATAGCAAAAAAAAAAAAAATGTACCCAAATTGACACACCCTAACCCGAATCGAGGTGTGCTAGCCGTTACGTAAGGGTGACGTAACCATGTGTACAATGTGGAAGCAATAAAGATAAAAGAAATACGAATAAATTAAGACCAAGCTACCAGCAATACTAGCTAGGAGAAAGTGCTAGTGCGAGATTAATTGTGAAATACACAATCAGAGTATAAATAGTCTAAGTGTAGTCAGACATGATAAGTACTAATTATACAACACCTAAAGGTGATCCTACATTTATGATGTTCTGTCAGAACCATCGTCGAAATTCTAGTGAGCCACCAAAGCACTTCCACCTAAAACCTGGAGGGGCGCAAAACAGAAAGTGTGAGTGGGCAAAAACAAAGCTTTTCAAAATCATTTCATTTCTAAAAAACTCTAACCCCTCGCCATAAACCTGTATAATTTCCCAGAAAATAATAATAATAATAAGCTGTATCAGAAATCATACTCAAGATGAAAATCCATAGAAGTATATCATGCTAAAGTATCTCAATGCAATGCCACAAGTAGTTCAGACAAAATATATCAATGTCAAATATTGTATCAACTGAATCCCTCTAACTCAATTTGTACGGCTGAGTCTATAGCTCATAACCAATCTCAATCATATCATATCAAATCCTGCACAGGAGTCCGAACCACCTAAAGTGGTCTGTACGACAAGACTAGGTGTAAAATAAATATGCTCTAATGCTACGATCACATGAAGACTGTGCGAATGATTGCGGGTCACCTATGAGTCGGAACCACCTATAATGGTCTGTACGACAAGCCTATGCACCTAACTTGGATCCAAGGTGAACATATGGTGCGGGAGGTGAACATCACATGAAGGACTGTGCCCTAACTCTGGGCGGGAGCACTAACACCGGGGTGCAGGTTTATAAGCTCTCAATGCATCACATCATACATCGCATAATTGAAGCAATCTCATACCTTTAATTTATGAACTTACCTGACACTTACCTGTGTGTCCGCAGCACCAATCATAAGTATATGCAACTACTAATGCATAATAAAATAACCAGATACTTTGCATGGCATTTCAAGACGTAATTTCATTTAAACACATTTTCTGGGAAAAATACCAAGTATATAAGTATATACTGAAAACCAAAAACCCACTCACTAGTATGTCGAAGGGTCGTAACCCCCGAGCCTCAATTGATGGAGCTCGTCCTTAGGATAGGTCTCACCTATATGCGAAATAACTGAATAAACATTATTTAAAGCACATATTACAAAACTAGGAAATAACTTCTCATACAATGCTCAAATGGGGTGTTTGAATATACCAACGTGATCTACTCAACACCATGAACATCCCCATATTTTTAGAAAAAATTTTCGAGCACCCACGCGCCCTCACACGCCGGCCAAGGCACGGCCAAACACTTGACCCATGCGCAGGCACGTGCCTGGCACACCAAATAGATTCCCTAACGGCGTTAGGAATATTCCATAAAAAATCAAAATATGCCGTTATGTTTACCTGACGGCGTCAGAATATTCCGTCAATTTTGACGAGATATTCTCCTCCTCCTTCCTTAGGTCGCCGGAGCCTGGCGCCGGTGCCGCTGCTATCACCAGAAACTGGAAAAATAATCAAACCTTCATATCTTCTTTGATTCTCAACCAAAATTCACAAAATTTATACCAAATTGAAGCTTACAACTAGTAGCACAAAACCTTACCAATTTAAAGCCCTAAAATCCACGGAATCTTGCCGGAAAAACCTCGATAATCCGGCCAAAATTTGAAACTCGCGAACTGGGACTTCCCGACGTCCAAAGCACTCTAAATTTCTTCCCCGAGCTTCGTGAAGGTGTTTTAAGGCTTCCCATAACCTTAAAACTCCTCGAAAACTTCACAATCACGAGTGCATGAAAAATACTCCAAATCAAGGTTCTTAGGTTCTCGGGTTTTCGAGGGTTTCACACACCAAAAATGGTATAGAACAACTCCTGAACTTACTAGGAGTTTAAAGGTGCCAACTACAACCTCAATCCGTGATTGGAAGTGAAGGTTTGAAGGTTTAAAGGTTGTCCGTACGTTGTACGGAAAATGGATAAAATCCGAGAGATGGAGGAAAGAGAGAGAGAGTCAACGAGAGGGTGATAGTAAGGGTGTGTTTGTGTGTGGTCCAGGTTTGGCCAACCAAACCAAAAACAACTAAAACCTTAAGTTCTAATTGGGTCCAAGTACTTAGGAAAGAAAATGATTGGTCCATAACACAACTTAAACCACACAACACCACAAACGTTTAAGGGTAAATTAGACATTTCACATCATCAGAGAATATCTTTTGGGACAGGCTGTCACAACCTACCCCTTTAAGAAAATTTCATCCCCGAAATTCGCATAACAATTACAAACCACTAATAATCATAAAACACCTTGGGTACATATCTTTCATACACTCATCCATCTCCTAGGTGGCTTCCTTCACCGAGTGATTTCTCCACAAAACCTTCACTAGGCGTACCGTCTTATTTCTCAGAACTTTATCTTTCCAATCCAAAATAGTCACTGGCTCTTCATCATAAGTTAAATCCAGATTAATTTCCAAAGGTTGAGGAGGTATCACATGAGAAGGATCTGAGATGTAATGACGAAGCATAGAGACATGAAAAACATCGTGTACTTTTGATAACTCTGGAGGTAACTGAAGCATGTAAGTAACCTCACCGACTCGCTCGGTGATCATATATAGTCCAAGTATCTAGGACTCAGCTTGCCTATCTTTCTAAACCGTACTACACCTCTCCATGGTGATAGCTTAATAAATACCCAATCACCTACATTATACACCCTGTCAGTGGTATGTTTATCTGCTAAGCTCTTCTGTCGATCCTAGGCTGCTTTCAGGTTAGACTTAATCACCTGAACATTTTGCGTAGTCCCATCCATAATCTCAGGGCCCACCAAAACTCTTTACCAACCTCCGACCAACATAAGGGTATACAACAAGATTTACCATAAAGTGCCTCAAATGGTGACATACCAATACTAGAATGAAAGCTGTTGTTGTAGGCAAATTCCATCAAATCCAACCGCTTATGCCAAGCGTCACCAAACTGCAACACTGAAGATCTCAACATATCTTCCAACGTTTGAATAGTCCTCTCTGATTGACCATCTGTATGAAGATGATATGATGGACTATAAAGTAATCTCGAACCAAGAGCTTCCTGGAATGCTATCCAGAACTTAGAAGTGAATCTAGGATCCCGATCCAAGATAATACTAACTGAAATCCCATGGTACTTCACAATCTTCGATATAAATAATTCAGCTAATCGACTTAAAGGATATTTCTCCCTCACAGGAATAAAATATGCTGACTTAGTAAGCCGATCAACTCTCACCCAAATGCCATCATAACCATTCTGTGTACGAGGAAGCTTGTACACAAAATTCATAGTAATATTTTCCCATTTCCACTGTGAAACAGGAAGTGGCTGCATGAATCCAAAAGGCTTCTTTCTTTCTGCTTTGACTTGCTGACAAATGACACACCTACTCACATATTCAGCAATTTCTCGTTTCATACCTGGCCAATAATAAAATGGTCGAACGGTATGATACATTTTTATACCTCCTGTATGCATTGCATAAGCTGGAATATGTGCTTCATCAAGAATTGCTTTCTTTAATTCCATATTATTCGACACATACATCATACTCTCCTGCATAAGCATGCCATCTGTTTCTCGAATTCTGAAGTCTTTCTTCTTTCCCTGATTCCTTGCTTGAATTATTTCCTAGGTTTCTTCATCATTCCTCTAGGCTTCAAGTACACTATCAATTAAAATTGGCCTGACTTGAAAATTAGCAAGGCTTCCTCTCGATCTTCCACTCCTAACTTCACTCCAGTTGACCTCAAATCCACAAGAAGAGGAACGTGACAAGCGTACAAAGCATTAAGTCTAACTAGAGTTTTCCTACTAAGTGCATCAGCCACTACATTCGCACAACTAGGGTGATACTCAATCGTGCAATCATAATCACTAAGTAACTCAATCCACCTTCGTTGTCGAATATTAAGATCTCTCTGAGTAAAAAGATACCGAAGACTCTTATGATCTGTGAAGATCTTACATTTCTCACCATAGAGATAGTGTCTCCAAATCTTCAAAGCAAAAATAATAGCCGCTAACTCCAGATCATGAGTAGGATAATTCATCTCATGAGGCTTCAATTGTCGTGAAGCATAAGAAATCACCCTACCATGCTGCATCAACACACAACCCAGACCATTTAAGGAAGCATCACTATAGACCTTAAAATTACCACTATCATCTAGGAGTGCCAAAATAGGTGCATGAGTGAGATAATATTTCAATTGCTGAAAACTTTGCTCAC